TCGAAAAGGGATGCTCACACTTTGCCACAGCCCTGCCCCGATGTCACTCCCTTCTGGCTCTAACTGCAACCTCCTCTCTCTCTCTCTCTAAAGGAGGTTCTTAACTCACTCTCTCTAACAGTGGGTTGTCACCACTCTCGCTAATAGAGGATGTGACTTGTGACCCATTCATTTTTCGGGAAAAGTTTTTATAAGGTCGCAACACCTTAAGGCACCTCTAAAAAATTATAAAAGAATGTTGTTTTGATGGTAGAAAACCTTCTAATTGATATCTCAATATCAAGAAGCATGGATGTGAAAAAAAAAAATTTATAAAGCACCAAAAATGATGTATCTTGTAATATGCTATCTAGACAATTCATTCTCAAGATTAAATTTACTCGATCTATACCATTTCTTGAGTTTTAAATTTTAGAATTGAATGTTAAATAGTTTTTTAGGTCATCATTAAAATTTTCGACACAAAAATTTGATGAACTTTGAAGGTGTGCCTTAATTGGATTATTTAAAGTTGACCCCTTATACAAACCACACCCTTATTCTTCTCAGACTAACAGCATGTTGCAAGGGGCATGCGCGCACACGCTCTCTCTACATCAATGCACAACACAGTTTTCTAGTCTTGATTGGGCGCTAGCGTTGCATGCGGACTGATATTTCAATCTAGTGGATTTGTTCCTTGAAATGTTACTCGTGGGAAAAGTTTATATGCTACCTAGGCCTTGAGGAAAAACGTAGAACCGCACTGCAAAAACCGCTGAGATGGGTTATTCCAACAATGGAAAACTCTCAAATAGCTTGACAACTATACAAATTTCAAACCTCAAAAATAGTACATTTTGTAATATATTATCTAGACTATTCATTTTCAAGTGTCCAAATATGTCATGATTTGCACCATTTTACTGCTTCAAAATTAATGAATAGGGATGGGAATGAATTTTTAAGACATAATTAGAGCTTTTAGAGCCAAAACTGCATTTTCCTACGGGGTATTGAAGATCCATCCCTACTTTTTCTGCCTAGACCTCATGCCTTTCCTACCTAATGTTCGTTCACCATATTATTGAAATTCTTAAATATTTGTACTGAAATAAAGGAAATTTCTAGATAAATGCCGTTACAAGATGTATATTTGGAAAAAAGGTGAGCATACTTCCACAAAGTATTCAAGAATTTCAGTAAAAAACCTCAATCAATTAGGTGTGAAAACTATTCTGAATTGAATCACTTACTTTCAAGGCTCAAGTAAGTTGAAGGGTGGTGGTTTCAGAGCCTATGTGAGATATGTTAGCAGCCATCAGGAGTGTGAAAACTATTCTGAATTGAATCACCTACTTTCAAGGCTCGAGTAAGTTGAAGGGTGGTGGTTTCAGAGCCTATGTGAGATATGTTAGCAGCCATCAGGAGTTCTAAAAAGGGAATTTACCAAACCAACTTCCCCCCCCCCCCAGCCTTTTTAATCCGTTAATCATCGGAATCGAGGTTGGGATGTTGAGTCGAGGCATCCACCCCCAAACCACCAATGGCCTAACCTGACCAACCACCTTTGCATTGTCTTCACCTTCCAAGATATGCATGAGCATGCTCACATGCTTCATGTATGTGCATGTGTGCACAATTTGATGTTTTGAATTGCCTCCATTTCTTGGCTAGTTCTTGTGGCCACGAATCTGTGCAGGGAGGAATCGATAACGGCCACGGCCGATCTTGAAGCTTTGATGCTAACAGCACATATGCATGATCAATATGCATCATCAATAAGTCCTAACTACTTGTTGGAATCCACTCAAAAGGGAAGTTACTCTATATTCAACTATAAAATGGAAGTAATCAATGTATGCATTGCAGTTTACATTAATTGAAAGGTTGGAAAAGCCAAAGAACGAGATATCGATCAAATCCAACTTTTGAGCTTTCAATCAGTCTTGATATCGGGCTTCTCAAATATGGTACAA